TCTCAGCATAGTCCCAGCTCCCTGTAACATCCAGCATGGGAGCAGGGGGATTGCACAGAGACCTTGACATTTCTGCAAGTCGTTCCGGCAGTCGCAGAGGCTCCTGCTGCCAGCCAGGGCACAGAGCAGCCAGCTTGGGAATGCCTCCCTCGGGACCACACGGATGGAGACCCCTGAGACCTCTCCATCAAAACCTTATCCTTCCGCCAGCCCAAGTGGGCTCGGGCCAGCATAAGGGGTGGCTTTGTGCCACCCATGGCCAAGGAGATGCTCACCACACATCCTTGCCCATGTGGGCTGGCTCCGTGAAGGTCCCAGCACTGATGGGACCATTCCTGCAGAGGGACACGGTGCCACTCACCCGCTGGCGGGATGTCACTGACCATCACCAGTGTCAAGGACACACACACACACACACACACACACACACACACACACACACACACAAGACCACTCCCTTTCCAACAGCGCGGGATGTCCTCTGCGTGCATCGGAGCAGCGGCCAGAAGCAGCGGACATCCCAGGGCCGCCCACATCTTGGCGTGGCTGTGGATGCATCCATGAAAAGCTGGGCGATGGGGACATCTAGTGACCAGCCCAGGGCTGGGGACAGGCTGCCCCCCCGGGGCGGGGGACTGCAGCCAGACAGGGTTAGGGGAGATGCCTTCCATCCCTGTGGCCAAGGAGAAAATGGGATTAAGCATTCATCCCTGCCACACCACGCAGAGATCCCCCAGCAACTCTACTTCTGCCCGCACCGGAGGCAGGACATTTCCCTTGCTAATGGAGCATAAACTGGGAATTAGCATAATTAAAAGTGACTAGCATGGATACAATAACAAACACCGGAATAACAGCTCAAAGAGAGTATGAAATTTAAAGAGTCTCTCCAGTGAAAGTCACTTTCCCTTAGGGGAAACAGTCTATTTTTTTCAGCCTTATTTTGTACTAGATTTGCAAATACAGTCTAGGAAAAAAAAAAAAAATAAATGCACAAAACAATACTCCAGACAATTTTGGGAGCACAACAAGGATATGCAGGGGGAATGGGGACCTTTGGCTGAGGCCAAGGGGCTGAACACAGACCTCAACTGGCCCCTCTCTGATCAAGACCCCCACACTCCAGGGGCAGGGGGAGGCATTGGACCAATACTTTCCAGTCAAAGTAAAAATATCCCCCTAAACAACTCATTCCTAAAGAGCTTGGCTGAGTTGGTCACTTCCAGAAATGTTGAATCATTCTGGCTGGATAACATTGCATTGTTTTGGGAGAGAAAAGCAATGTATTAAAGCTATTCTGTTGATTAATTGGGATGTACACCTTGTACTGAATATTCACTCCAATATTAGAGATTCTTCCCAGTGGCATGGCTGTGGATGTATCATCACAGTATTTTAAGTTCATCCAAAATGGAAACCCAAGACCTATCACAAATCAAAGCAAAACACTGAGGATCCTTCCAAAGAAAGTAGCAAATCTTTTGAGTCATCCCAAAGAAATCAAAGCTGAGTTTGACAAAATCCTTGTGATTTTGCCGTTATCCTTGTTGTCATCAACATGCTCCCAGGAGATGCTGCAATGGTTTCAACACCTCTTTCTCCAAACCTCGCTCAAGCCCTTATGATGATGAATAAGCTGATTCCCACATCACACTGCAATTTAATTTTTTTTCTTTTTAAATTTGCAAAATAGCCTTGGCAATGTGACCTCCAAAGAAAAGTTGTGAAGTCAAAGGGAATGCCAGAAGGAGGGATGCTTCAGGTTGTCTTCCTGCAGGATCAGGAGCTGGATTCAATGATCCTTGTGGATCCCTTCCAGCTGAGGATATTCTGATTCTGTGACTGTGCAGTGCTCCTGTGAGGTGACCCAGGTGATTGCTGCTGCTTAGATTTCCCTTGTCCCCCTGTGGCTGCATCCAGCATTCCCTGGAGCACTCCTGCTACCGCAGATCCTTGTGGCAGCTCAAGCCTTGATACATCTCAGACACCTGCCTGATGCCAGAGCAATGCTCATATCCAGCCTCTTCTCCCTCACCACCTATTCCTGGGGTGGCTTTCCATAGCCTGGCTGGGTGATGGATGCCTGGCAGGGGGCTGGGGTGGGAATGGTACCGAGAGGGGGATGTTATCCATGGGTTTGCTGGCATGGGGATGGGTGCCTCAGGTATTGAGGCAGTCTGCTCCCTCTCTGCAGCAGCCCCTGAGCTTGGCTGCATCTGGCAGACCCAATCTGGCATCTGCTATTTTGAGCAGGGCTGTCTCAGTGGAGGTGGGAAACAGCACAGGGAGCGCACGCAGAGAGCAGAGGAATTCAGGGCAGCCGTGATCTGCAGGCACTGTGAAAAGCCATTTCTGTGTCCAGGACACTGTCACGCTCCTCGGCCTTCCCCAGGTGTCCGAATCCCACAGCCTTGCTGGCCTTGGGTGGATTTCTCAGTCTTGGTCAATGTGATTCTGCTGCTGCTATGCCTCCATCACCTGGTGAAGAAGCTCTCCTCGTGCTCCAGCTTGTCCTACACCCCACAGAAGAGCTGAGAACGGCAGGATGGGCTGGCTTCCTCTGTGCACCATCCCTCTCTGAGTGGGCAGTACCCCAGGCTGCCATGGAGTGTGGTGGCAGTGGGATGTGGAGCTTTTGCCGTGACTCACACCCCAGGGCACCGGGGTGGTTATTTTCACTGGATCTCACACACAGATATCTCATTCTTCCAGCAGAAAAAGCATTTGGTCTAAAGCAGAGTGAGGAACAGGAGAAGATGAGGAGTGCCCCTTGCCCACAGCTGACTCACCATTTTGGCAGGTGGTTCTGTGCTCTCCTGGCCAGTTGGCGACTTGGAGTAGGCCCCGTTTGGTGCCTGCCTCCCTCCAACCTGAGCATCAGCATAAATACACGGGGGAGGTGCCAGCAAAGGCTGCTGGCTCCACCTGAGCCCCTGAGCACTCCCCACAGCACCTGTGCTCCCCTGGATGGGGAACCAGGGGATGGTCTTGAATGTGTGTGGCTGCTGGGCCACCAAAAAGGCACAGCTGAACCCAAAGTGCCAGGGAGAGCAGGGCAAGGGGTTGGAGACAGGCAGCAAAGCACCTTCTGGGCGATCTGGGAGCACCTTTAACCAAAGAAGCTTGGAATGCTCTGGAGAGCTGAGAACAGCAGGGACACCTGGGCAGAACAAACTCCGATGCTCAGTGGCACTGCCTTCACCTTTCTGGGCTCCTGAGCCATGCTCTCATTCCTACCAGCTCCCTGCTGGAGCCCACAGCCCCCTGCCCATCTTTGGCGCCACTGATGCAGTGGCATCAGCGGGGATTCCTGACACAGCCTGTCTGAGTGTTGAGCAGGCAGTGCTGGAGACAGGAGAAGTGGCCCAGCATCCTGGCAGGAGAAGGGTGGGAAGCTGCCAGTGGTGCCTCCTGGTAGTGAGGGTTGAAGGGAGGGAAAGGCCAGGAAGTCTTGGGGCTCACCTGGAAAAGCAATGTGTTTCCCATGTGGTACAGTGCAAAAATGTACTGTGTGGCTGCTTCAGCTGTCTGGGGACATGGTGCGTCATGGTCCCCTCATTTGCAATCCAAGAAAAGAGACAGTCAGGAAGTAACAGATGGAAAAACGTACATTTCCCTGTTAGAGAGGCAGGAGAGAGAAGTCTGGAAGCAGAAGGCAGGGCTGGGCAGAGAGGGCCTCAGAGAAGGGTGTGGGGCACAGACATGGCAGATCCATCCAGACAAGGGGGCAGTGAGAGATGACGGTTGTCACATCACAACTTATAAATTAATCTCAGGGAAAACCAAAGAATTATGCAAGCCAAATACTCTCCCTTTGGAAAAAAAAAACAACCCAATAAGCATGGAATCACTCAGGAAGTGCATTGGTCATGGGGACCTTCTCTAAAAAAAGGAAACAAAAAAAATTATGACGCTGATGATAAATAACGATAATAATAATAATAATAATAATAATAATAATAATAATAGAGAACTCGTGCATACAACCCCCACCTTCCCTCCAAGCAGCTAAAAAGGTGTGGAAGGATGCAGAGGGAAGGATGGGGCTGGTATTGTCAGGGCAGCCCAGGAGAAGAACAGTCAGAGCCCATTGGTACCAGAGCTGCACAGACATTTATTGAACACAAACAGTGACAAACATAGCCAGCTCACAGAGCTTCCTGAGCTATCGTCCAATGGTTTTGCTCATGGGGGATTGCCAAAAGAGTGCTTTCAAAGGCCCCTGGGGGGTGTGAATCCTGTACAGCTGAGTTCTTACCACTTCCAGGTGCTCATTAGTTTAAAAAAAAATGAGCATTTGTGTGTATATGTGTATGTGTGTGTGTGATTCCCTTAGCTTAGCAGGAGAAAGGATTTGTCTGGACCATGCCATGTTCCAAGAAAGAAGCCTGCGGGTTGAACCGCGCTTGGCTTCTGCTTCCCAAATAACACGGGTGAAAAGTATGCCCTTGCCCTGAGGGCAGGGGCATGAGGTGGTGAAGGTGAGCCAGGACAAGCAAAGGGGAGCACCAAAGGAAGGAGGGTGGGAAAAGTTAAGTCATCTGAAGTAGGCACAGCTCTGGGTGGCATCATGTATGTCCTTAGGCTACAGGAAGTACCGCCAATGTCAACTCAAACGTGTAAGTAGCTACGCTAGACTAGAGACCACACCAGCTCCTGCGGTCTCGCCAGTGAGAGGAAAAAAACAGCGCCCCCCTCCCCCCTCCCTCATCCCCAAAAAGCAGATGAAGAATTAACACCGTAATGCTGAAAACAAGGACCATAACCAAAGAGCTTGGGAGCAGCCTCGGGAGCACAGAGCAAAGAGCTCGTAAAGAAACCTTCCAGTGTGTGCTTATGCGTGCGTGTGTTTATATCTATATATATGTATTTGTTAGTAAAGAAAAGAGTATCTGTGGAGGCAAAGGAAAGACGGTAAATGTACAGGCAGTACAGGCTGGGTGGAGTGCCGGTGGCTGGAGAGGGTCGGGTGGTGCGGAGTGGAGGATGGTGGGTGGAAATTAGAGTGCGCCCATTCCAGTGACCTCAGACGTCAGCCTAGAATAGACAGGGGCAGAGAGAGGGGTAGGGGGGAGACAAAAAACAAGTGCTTAATCACCGGAGCAGAAAAGAAAACGAAGACCCTGCAGGGCAGTGCTCCTCCTCTTGCCCAGACCCCACACAGACAGAGTGGGCAGAGCATCGTTGGGTGGCCTGAGGGTCCCCCATGGAGGGCACAGAGGGCTGGAGCACAGAGCCAGTGTAATGGCTGGCTGCCTCCCCCTCTCCTCGCTGCAGCCAGGTGGTGCCCTTTACTGTCACCGTGTCACAGCAGGGGTGTCACCCACCAGAAGTGCTGGCAGGAGTCATCCCAGAGCACAGCTTCTCTTCCAGCAGCGTCCCTCCCACGGGGGACAGGCAGCTGTGTCAGCTCCTCTGGCTGCTTTGTTTTGCTCTGGTTTGGAAACTGCGGGAGAGGCTGAGCCCCACCAGGTCACCTCTGCACAGGGGGCAACTCAGCTAGCCCTTCCCATTAGCTAAGAGGCGCTTCTTTTTCTTTTCTTTCTCTCTCCCGTCTCGGGGAGCGGAGAGACGAGGGGGGGATTGGCAAGGGTCTGCGAGGAAGCCACAGCCATGCCCGTGGGCGGGGCGCTGCCCCCGTCCCTCGCCCAAGCAGGGGGAGAGGTGCCACGGGCATGGGCAGCGGGGTAGCGGGGCGGGATGGGATGGCGGGGGTCTACTGCGGGTTGGGGCTCGGGTGGGTTGGGTGCAAGGAGGAGAAAGCACATACAGACCTCACCGGTGCTCCCAGCCCACACCCCAACAAGTGTCAGAGTCGCCGCCAGCAGCCCCCCGTCCTCAGGGCGCTGCCAGCAGCCTCCCTCCTGCGCGCATCCGGGGCTGGCGGCGGGTTGGCACGGCATCGGTCCTGCCCAGGCGGATGGGCCCGTTTGAGTGGCTCTGCCAGGCGGGCGCAAAGCTACCAGGAAGGTCCTGTATCCCTTTAAACTCGCTCTCCATGCGTCCGCAGGCACGGGCAAACAGGTCTGAGCAAGCAGCCTGAACACAGCTTGCTGCCTGCACGAAGCAGATTCCCAGCTCTTCTCTGCAGCTACGCCTCCCCTGCACGCTCCCCTCGCAGGCCCTTGCCGGCCCTCGGCCCCCATGGCATGTGCTGCGTCTCCCCCCAGCCAGCGGCAGTGCTGCGAACCCTTGGCGCCCGTGAAGTCCTGCAGTGCCAAGCTTTTCATGATGGAAAGGAAGCAGTCGGGCCGTTCCCATGTCCTGCGTTTATTGGACTGAGTTTTCACTGAATGGAGAAAAGCCTTTGGGAGGCCTGGAAGCACGTGGAAAGCAGTAAGCGATGCCGGGACGCCAGCAAGCAGCTCCCAAGTGACGCCTCCCTGCCACCGGCTCAGCTCTGCTCCTGTCCCCATCCCCGGCCTCGTCCAGAGGCAAAGACGGCGGCAACTTTGCCCACCCGCGAGCAAAATCCTTCAGCGAAGGCGGCGGGAAGGGCAGGAGCCCGGCGGAACCCGCGGCCACTCCGCCAGCAGCGTGGCGGCTCCCGGTCTCCAGCCAAAGTGCCGGCTGGGGGGAGATGTCCTGCTGGCGATATCTGGTCCCTGCTCAGAGATCTCAGCAAGACATCGTCCATCCCAGCCGGCCTTGGGAAGCCCCTGCTGACCCATGGCACCGGAAGCACGGATTGCTCCCAGCTCACCGGCGGGCCGGGATGGGCCGGGATGGGCCGAGGTGGGCCGGGATGGGCCGAGGTGGGAGGCGGGCTCACCTGGCGTTGATGAGGTACTGCGCGAGGCTGATGTTTGCAGGGGTTCCTGTGATGGTAATTTGGCGCTCCGATGATCCTTCTGTGGCGTTGGCGATTTTGATCTGCGCTCCCGACATCTGCCGAATTTCATTGATTTTGGTCCCTTGGCGTCCGATTATGCAGCCTATTAGCTAGGAAAGAAAGCACGGAGGGAATGTCTGAGAGGCGGCAGCTCTGGCAGTCACCGGCAGGACGCAAGTACACCTGGGACAAGGGTGACCTTAATGCTCATGAAAATAGGAGAGGGACAGCCCGGGGTGAATCCTACCAGCGCGTGAGCACCGTCCTCCAAGGACTCATCCAGAGGCCTGCTCCTTGTGGGCAAGAATCTCCATTATCTGCACATGGTGCCCAGCACCTCAGGGGGCTTCAAGGAGGGCTCGCTTCAGTAATAATAATTTTCATGATTTAATGGATGGTCAGTGTTTTGCAGGTACTTATCCCCTTGCCAGTCACAACAAATCCAAGGAAACAAGCCTGCTGCCTTCCCTGGCAACAGGCCAACCCCAGGAGCCCACTCATCAGCTGGTGTAGTGACCCCATCCCACATTTCTTCTATCCCAGTAGGACACCCTCAGTACCTCTGCTACCCCCTCTAGCTCTTTTGGTGCAATTCAGTGGCGTGCCAGCAAGCACAGGAGAGCACCACACAGCTGTGGCACCCACAGGAAAGGTGGACCTTAAAAAAACCACATCCTTCCTACTCTTGAGAAAAAATCAGAGCCAGCTGGAGGCTTGAATTTCCTCAACTGTTCATCCCTTGAATTTCCTCAATGGTCCTCAGTGGCCTAAATTTCTTCAGTGGTCTTTCCTCATTTGTGCATCTCCCTCAAAGCATTTCCAAAGCTTGGTAACACATACAGGAATATCCAGCTTGACCAACACAGGCATGAAGTGCTCTGCATGCCCTTTTTGGCCATTTGAGCTCTTTCCCAAGGGCATTTTATACATTGGATGTTCATCTTGGCAGCTGCTGGATTTCTGCATGGTATAAGTAGAGATGATTACTCCTCCAAATATTCCCTGATCCTTTGGTCAGACTATGGGGCTTCCATGGTGGTTTTTATCCCATATGGATTTGAATATACACTGGAAGGGCAGCCACTGTCCCAGGGTCTGTGGGGGTATGTTCAGCCCATCCTGGTCTTCACAGCACAGAAATAACTCCGAGATGCTTCAGCAAATGGAAATCTGCTGGAGAGGCCTGAGGAGCCAAACTATTTAGGCAGATGCTCAGCTGCACCCAAGTTGAATGGCCTTCAAGTTTCTCCTGACAGTCAGAGGAGCAGCAAGATGGGTATCATCAGATTTCCCTCCACTGTAGCACAACTCCAAGCTACACCATTAAAACACACCTGGTGACTCTTAAAGGAACCCAAACCTGTCCTCTCCTTCATGAGAGGGTGGCGGTGGGTGTTTGAAAGCCTTTGAAACAACAATGGGGAGAGCTAAGGAGGAGTTTTCAAGATGCAGGTGATAACATCTAATGCCTCCCAGGTCTGATGAGAGCTGGGTCTCTGGCAAATGAATGCTCCGAGTGCTTCTGAGTTCTCAGAGGTCTCCTGCCATCCTTTACTCCTACGCGAGTCCTTTTGCAAGGGGTCTCTTTATATTCCTGAAGATGCCTTCATTGCTGTGGTCCTCCATGCTGAGCAGACGTGGATGATGGAACCTCAGGAGTGCCTGCAGATCTCCCTGCAGCCTCCTGGAGAGGAGTCCCTGCTGGGTGGACAGAAGCAGATCTGGGATCAGGCCCCACGGGCTCCTCTGCAGATCCCTCCTGTGGTGATTTGGCAAAGCATCTCCAAGGGTTTCAGTCAGCAGGTGCTCACAGACTCTTGCACTGCCATGTCTCTCGGGTGGACAAAGGTCTTGGCAGAGGTGGCCGGCAGTTGCTGCTGGGATCGCTGCCTTTCCCTGGCATTGCTGGCTGCTGGTGAACAGCAGGGAGAAGGAGAAACAGCTGACAGACCCCATCCAGAGGTTCCTGATGAGGGTGAGCTGAAGGTGCTTGTCAGTGATGGAGATGGGAATAGAGACTGGATGTCATCCCTCCACTTGCTCTTATCCTGACTGAAGCAGATTGGGTCTTAATCCATAGAAACCAGTCCAAAAGCAAGTGAGGCTCATGTGGATCCAGGTGCTGGCTGTGTCGTGCTCTCTATCCCACCTCCTCCCCACCCAGCATGGCTCCCACCTCGTCCCGGCCAGTGTCCCAGTCCACCACCCATGTTACCACAAAGCTTCCACCTATCAGACCCCACAGCTGCTTGCCAGCAGTACTGAGACGCACTGTCCTTCAGACACTCGTGTGGCACTTTGTGGCAGCAGAAATGTCACTTACTTACCTCCTCTTCCCCACCACTCCACCCAGTCACTACCCTTGAGCTGGAACATCATCTCAGACCCGCCACAGCCTGATTAAGCAATTAAGAATTTACTCAAGGCTGTCATGGGAGCTTTCTCCCAGTGCTGTCAACTGGGTATGTTTCATGAGCACCGAGTTCACTTGGAAAGGGAAATGGAGCATTAAGGATTGTACCTAGGGAAGCTACCGACAGGGTGAAGTCCAGCAGGCGCTTTGTGCTGCCGGTTGATCCCCCACGGACATGGATGAGGGATCATGGGGAAGTGGAATCTCTAACAAAGTCAAATGGCTGCAGCTTATACATAGGTCTATGTATGCATATACAAACATATGTGTATACACACACGCACACACAGACATGCCAAGGAAGCACTTGGATTTACTTACATCATTGGGAATGGTGAGTTCATGAGTACTGGCCGGGGGACTGGCATCCAAACCTGGGCAGATTCAAGGGAACATGGTTAGAGCTGGCAGTGGCAACACTACAGAGCTCTGCTGTTTTCCCACAACACTGCCAAGGCTGCATCCTGCTCCGAGCTGGGAAGGGGAAGGGGATCACACACTCTGGGACAAGGAGGAGGAAGACAGTTGCTACCTGACTCTGCTGGAGCTGGGTGTCACCTTCCCTGCATCCCACCAGTGCCTCACTTCCCACCCTTCATCCTCCCACTGGGAATGGCTTCAGAGGAGGGTGCAAGATTCCATCATCAGCAAAGAGAGTTGGTTGAAACACCTTCCCACACAGCAGCAGAGAGCATGCTGGCTGGGACACCCACCAGCCCTCTCTGGATGCAGCAGCACTGAGCTGCTGGAGTGTGACAGCAGCTTGGTGCCTCAAAACCAGAGTCCCTGCAGGATCCGGCGGCACAAGTCCTCTGCAAGTCCCACAGACTCAACATGCTGAATCTGAGCCAGACTGCTAAGACATGCAACCTAGCTGGACCCAGGAGCAGCTGTCCCTCTTATTCTCAAGGGAAAGCAAGATGAACAGTATGGAGATATAGATCCTGCTTCCCTCCAAAACTAGCACAGCACACAGCAAGGAGCAAAGGCAGCAGCTTCCTCCCATCCTCTCCTGGATCAGGGAGAACTCTCTCCTCCATGGTAGGAATGGCTGGAGCCAGCAGGATACCCTGTGGGTGCAGCTCCAGAGGTAAGAGGACACCATGCTGTAGTGATCCTAGGTCAAAGCCTGCCTCTCCCATGGTTTCCCATATTAAATCACCTCAGTGCCAAAGCAGGGACGTCCTATGTCAAATCTGCAAGAAAGAAGCTGTCTGTTGCCTGACAGGAATTTGCAGTAACTGAAAAAAAAAAAACCCTTATCCTTATGGTTTCAACCACTGATGAAAGCTTATAAGAACAGAAGAGACTGCCAGATCTGTATCCATGGAAAGAGGGTGGTTAAGGAGGTGCAGAATGAAGAAGTGCAAGGAGACTGGAAGTACAGGGCTCCTGCAAAACAAGCAGCAGCACCCAATTCCTCACATATTTCCATGGAGGGCCTCAGCACAGAGGAAGAGGAGCTCTGGGTATCTCTGATGTGCTCACGCACGATCTTAGGATGTTAGGAAATGAGGGTAGGAGGCCCTGGCACCGGTTGTCCAGAGAAGCTGTGGCTGTCCCATCCCTGGAAGTGTTCAGGGCAGATGAGATTTAGAGCAACCTAGGATAGTAGAAGGTGTCCCTGCCCATGGCAGCAGGGTAAAAATACACAGTTTGAGGCAAGGTGGACTGCACCTATCACAGACATGTCCCTCTGGTGAGGGTGTCCCTCTCCCTTGACCATGTGTTAAAAGGCTCAGCTCAGCAGCAGCCTAGGTGTGGCAGAAAATGTCTCCTGAAGGGAGCACAGCACCAGTGAGGGCTCTGAGCAGCAGAGGTACCCAGGAATCTTAGGGAATATAAGCTAAGCTTCTCAGACTCATAGGCAACATCCTCCGTCCCACACTCAGATGACATGGATGATGCTGAAGGCCCTTGGGACACTTGGTGCCATGGTACTGCACCATCCCTGCATCACAGAGCCTTTGAGGAATGGCCACGTCCTTCCCCATGACCTGGAGACTGGTTATTTTATCACTTCAGATCCTCCCTCTCTGATATGTACAAGCAGTCCTTGAGGCTGTAACAAGGGTGTCAGGGCAGGATTAATGCCTTGGGTGACTGCAAAGGGCAAAGGGGGTATGCAGAAAACATGGCTGCATAGGTCAGTGTCATGAAATCTGTATTTCTGCAGTCTTGTGGGATCTATTTGCTTGGGCTACGCTCGCTTTAATAGTTAGGTGCTGTCCCCAAGCCTTTGAGGCATGCATGGGATGGCTGTGTGCCCCAGGTCTGGTTCATCCTGCCTGTGAGCCTCCAGGTCTTGGGACAGCTCCTCTATGCAATGGCAGGGAACAAAAGACACATCTCTTCCTCATATATGGATGAATGTGGGCCATCTGACAGATGACAAAATTTCTCCAAGGCTGCAGCCACACTTTGGCTCCTCAGGGTCCTGTCCCACTAAAATTGCAACTCACCCTGAATGGCTTGGAGATGGCTAGAGCTGCATATCATAGCTGTTTCCACCGGCACTGTTCTGTTGTTTCTGAGCAAAGTTTATGCAAAATTAAATACAGGAATAAGGGTGATGACTCTGGTATCTTCCCTTTCTGCAGACAGAATTGAGGGAGACCTCACCACACCTGAGGGGCAGCACCGATCTCTGCTCCCTGTGCCCAGGGATAGCACTCCAGGGAACAGCATGCAGCTATGCCAAGGCAGAGTCCAGGCTAGAGATTAGGAAAAGGTTCTCCCCAGAGGGTGCTGGCACTGCCCCGGCTCCCCAAGGAATGGGCACGGCCTCGAGGCTGCCAGAGCTCCAGGAGCCTTTGGACACCGCTCCCAGGGATGCACAGGCTGGGATTGTTGGAGCATCTGTGCAGGTCCAGGAGTTGGACTGGATGATCCTTTGTGGGTCCCTTCGACTCAGGATATTCTGTGGTTCTGTGGGAGTTACACATAAATGTCACAGGCAATAAAGTCTATGCACTTTTCCTTTGACATGCTGCACCAAGGAGGAGGGTGCTGCCCGATCTCTCTGTGTCCACCAAGACAACCTGCTGTCTTCTCCATGAATACCACGATTCCTCTCAGAGCACAACAACGGCACAGTCCTATTTACGGAATATATTTCAATCAAAGCCTGCTTACGTCCCTCCAGCTTTGTGTTTTACCTGATGACTGGCCCATCAGATTTTGAGCTTCTTCGGAGGAATGTAAGGGCAGCTTTTCTCCTGAAGAGCAAAGAAGAAACAGGTTTAATGCTTTTCCCTTCGAGGAGATAAGCAATGTCACTTCATCTAGGAAGCTCAAAATATGATGAACATACTGCCAGAAAAGTCATTTCCAAGCGGTACTTTAAGTACCTCCATCCCCTGTGCTCAATCTGCTTCCCAGGTCACTGGGAACACGCCGGCCTTGAGGACAAGGCTCGGGCCACGCCGGGGCCGGCTGTCCTCCCGTCGGCGCAGCCCCCTTCAGCCACGACTCCTTCCCACCGCGAGGGTGCTGTCCTGCCTGGCTCAGCACCTCTCCCCGAGGCAGCACCCCCGGCCAGCCCGAGCCACTCCCCCCGGGAGAGCGCGGATGTCCCGCCAGGATCTGGAGTGGCACGGGGCAGGGGATGCTGCCTCCTCCGTGGAGGGAGGGAGGGATGGTGCTCACGGCTTCTGCTGGGAAAGCCGAGGCTGAGAGCTCGCCCTTGAGCACCATAACCCCCACAACATCCGTCAAGCCTCTCCTCAACCTCTCCCCATGGATACTGCCACTTTTTACTTGCCCTGCTCATTTCCATTAAACAGCAAGAGTTTAGAAAGAGAGAGAAACTCTACAGGTAAGAGAAGGATATCTTGAAAGGGCGTGTGGGTACGTACCAGGGAAAGCGGGGGTGGTCTGTCCAAGGGGAGTAAAGGGGGTTTGCTGCATAGCCAACTGGTGGAGCTTGGTCAACTGCTGAGGGGTAGGAGGGACATTAGAGCTAAGAAGGTTATTGTCATAGAGTACAACAAGTCACACTGAAAAGCAAGAACAAAATTACAGCGGAAGGCGGGGGGGGAAATGGAAAACAAACTGAAAAATAGAAAAAAAAACCTAAAGAAAAAACCAAACCAGGAAGCCATGGTGAGACATGGCAAAAACATTAGCAGAAAGGACTTGGCCTGGGTATAGTGCAATAAAGCCCCAATCTTTGGCAGAAGTGCTTGGTCAGGGTCTGAAGTACGATACCAGCAAGAAGCCCATTCTTAGTGTCTGTTCTACTCCTCTGCCTTGGTGCAGGGCCAGCTGGTGGGCGTCACAGCCAGCACTCAGGGACCCTCTTTGTGCCACCAGAGCCACATTGTCACTGCTTGTCCCCGCAGCACACATTCTTGTGCTGTGCCTCTGATGGGAAGTGCCTCAGGGAGATGGATATACTGTGTTTCTAAATGCCAGCTCATTGGGAATATAGGGAATTATGGGCTTCAGCCATGACCAGTAGGTATTTCAGATCCTTGTATCCCTTGTTGTGCCAGGGAGGTTTTGCTGTCCAGTCAGGAAGCAGTTTTATAGAGAGGTGTTTGTTTGGAATACATTTTGTGCTTGGTTTTACTGCTCCAAATTAAAAAAGAAAAAACAAACAAACCAAAAAACCAAAAAGACAGGAAAATAAAGAAAACAAACCAAACTGGGCTGAAGTCTGGTAATGAGCAGGAGGGAGGCTCTTCATCACCTCCCACTTTCACAGGTGCTCAGGGAGTTGTCAGCACAGCATCACCCCCCCAAACTCAAACTGCTTGTTTTGCCCATCATCCCTGGTAATGGGGAGGCTGGAGTTTCAGTGTTTTGGAGAACAACAAGATTCAAACACCTCTTTGCTGCTCCAGCGGGGCTGGGGAGGGAGAGTGGGGAGGTCTGGCTGGAAGCACTGGGATGCTGGGAAGAGCTGACCTGAGGGCTGTGCTGGCTGGGGGAAGACTGGAGGGAGGCAGCAGGAAGGGGTGAAATACCTGCAAATCCCTGGACAGGTGCTTCTGGGATCCCTATCCTGTCTGGAGGACACCCAGCCTTGCACTGCCTCAGGGGACAGGTCTCACCACTCCACAGAAAGAGTTGTCTGCACATCTCTGTGCTTATTTTGGCTATCTTTGGCTTATTTTATCCAAAGGTGTGATAGGCCAGGCTCCTGCCACAACATGGCTGTCTCCAGACAACACTGGGCATGTCACTGCTCCTTCAGGGAGCAGGGACATCAGCATCCACTGCTTCTTAACTTCAGAAATGCCCTGTTTCTGGAGCTGCACCCTGTTTCTGGAATTCCTTGTGACACCTGGTCCCACTGGCAGGACTCCAGATGAAACCTCTTTGCCCAGTGGGCTCCAGCCGTGCTCTGGGACAGGAGTCCTGCTTTGCCAAGAGGGGGAGACCAAAATCCTTTCTAATACTGACCTACTAGACCTTCCAGATAGTGGTATTTATGCAGCCCCTGCAATCAGAGCAATAAACAAGCCTAGGACAGGAGAAGATGGCTAAACCCAGGTGTTGCAGAAAAAGCTGCTACATCCATCTCTTCCAGCTCATCTTCCATGGTCGAGGGAGGGGAGAGCCCCCTCTGCTCTGGTGAGACTGTACCTGAGGTACTGCATCCAGCTCTGGGGTCTCCAGCACAGCAAGGATATGGATCTGTTAGAGTGAGTCCAGAGGAGGCCACGGAGATGCTCCAGGGGGCTGAAGGGGCTCCAATAGAGCTGGAGAGGGACTTTGGACAAGGGCTCAAAGGAGTGACAGGACAGGGGAGAATGGCTTCACACTGACAGAGGGCAGGGGTAGATGGGATTCTGGAGAAAAATCCTTCCCTGTGAGAGTGGGCAGGCCCTGGCACAGGGTGCCCAGAGAAGTTGTGGCTGCCCCTGGATCCCAGGCAGTGTCCAAGGCCAGGTTGGACACTGGGGCTTGGAGCAGCCTTGGACAGGAGAAGGTGCCCCTGCCCATGGCAGGGCTTTGGAGTGAGATGTGTTTTAAGGGACCTTCCAACCCAACCTATTCTGTGACTCTATGATCCCATAGCTTTTGGGAAGGCAGACACCTATGCATCACATCCCAAACAGCCAAAAACACCCAGGCAATGCTGAAACCCCTCATGAGCCAAAGCTTTCCTTGTCCTGGGATGTTTCTCCAGGGGACAAAACCAAGGCAGGAGCACACACTGGGCATTCAAAATTCTGCCTGCTTTGCAAAAGGCAGCCACTAAACACAGATACCTAAAACATGTTTAAAATGCCCTAAAAGCACATTCTAGACTGGGTTCTGTATTGAACCTTGTTTAAAATGACCAATCATTGAAAGAACACCCTGAGAGTAAGGGTGGAGTGAGTAGCCCCTGTACCAACAGCTTTATTCAGGAAATTTGCCGGAAGTGGGGCAGAGTGCAGCCATCAAATGTATTTTAATCCTGACAATCAGAGGAATATAGGAACAAGGAAAACACTAAGCTGTTGGCACCACTCGCAGGGAAAAACTGGGATAAAGACTGCATTGATCTACCCTAAATACACAGTTTTTTTAGTTATATTCTGCTTATGGAGTAAAAGCAAAGAGTACATAATTAGGAATATTTCTTATCAACCATCACAGCAGGCTGTTCAGAGTACACACATAGAAAGCCAAAGCCTGGATTCCTCTAATTCCAGTGAAACCACTTCTCCTAGGATGAAAATCCAGCCTACAACTCCCAAATGTTCCCATATGAGGCAGGCATTCGTAGTATCAAACAGCCTTGCCACCTTCTCAACCACAGAAGAAGAAATTTTGTGATTTAGTACCCAATGCACTCACTGGAAAGGGGAACACTGAGCTGCATCAACCCCTTCCCATGGGTGAGATGGCTGGAGAATGTTTTCCACCCACTGCGACATCCTCAGCCCCACTGCAGATCCCTGCCTCACAGCAGGAGGGACCCTCTGCAGTGAGACTCAATGGGTATTTTGTCCCCTTGGAAACACATTTAGCAAGTTCCTGCTTTTTCCAAGAGCCATGACCACCTCAGATGCTGAACTTCACTGCTTTCCTCAGAGAAATGATTCAAACAGACTGATTTTCTATTTCCCTTGGTAATTTCAGGTGCGCACATTCCAGCTGTTGATCCCTATGTGGTCCTCCCACAAAAGTGCTCCCTGACAGGAGCAGGCACAGGAGCCCAAGAGATCCCAGCATCAGCAAACCTCAGTCAGAGCAGCTCAGAGAAGCTCCTACCTCTGCACCAAGGAGCCCGAGGTGAAGTGGGGGCTGTCCTCAGGCTGCCCTGCTGTGGGTAACAGCCACCCACAGCAGTGAGACAGCCACCAAACCCAGGGTGACCACGTTGCTCTGGGGGCCCTCTGGGGGCCCTCTGGGAGACATGGTGGGGGCTTAGTTCAATTTCCACATCATCTGAAGGAACACCCCCTCGGAAAGGCACATCCCTGCCCAGTCTTCAAGCACAAAACCCTTGGAGCTCTGGCTTCTTCCCACCCCACCAAGGCACTCAGAAGCTAAATATACCCTTGGCTCACCAACATTTTAAAGACAAGGGGTAAATAGAAGGGAAGGTTTTTTTGTTTTTTTTTTTTCTTGTTTTGATCATTTTGAGGCACAAAATGCATAGAGTATGGTTTCTATCAGAACAAAGGGATAGCACTGAATAATGCAAACAATTTAGCATCAGGCCAAGTCCTCAGAAGTAATAAAGTTTAGTGCTAACAGGTTAAAAGGCTACTCGAGGTATTACAGATGCTACACATGGCCAGTCACTTTGAAAATATGCTATTAATATTATTGGCTAATATTAATATTATATGAATTAACAGTAGCATGCAGGTGACAGAAAAGGGTATAAGAAAAATTAGGGTAAAACTCACATCCGGGTGTGGAATAGCGTATTGTCCCTGAATTGTATAGGCCTGTAAAGGAAAAACAAAGATGTTACCAGGGCTGGCAGAATGTGGGGAGAGAACTCCATCCCTCTGCTGGGACCCCCTGTGCCACATTAAATTCCTTGGGGCACCAAATCCTTGGGGCAGGAGGGAGATGTTTCATCTCCCATCCAACCTAGACCATGCTGAGCAACCTGACTTCAAGGGCTCAGGCTCTGTTTGGCTTTTTTCAGAAGGAAAGAAACAGCTCTTTATAGGTGCCAGCATTGCATGGAGCAGGAATATTAGGCTGTGGCTGGTCTTTGCTGTACAAAAAATAAGGATCAGTGGTGGGGGGGGGGGGGGGGTGAGTTGGAAGTGAATGATCTTTAGTGTCCTTTCCAACCCAAGCCCTCCTGTGATTCTCTGATAACCAGAACTACCTGTGTAGCAGGTGCACAGTGACATCACTGCCCAAGTGCAATCCCAAAAAGCAAGCCAGCTCCATGAGGCTCTCCGTTATTTCCAGGTGCACAAGCCCCAGTGGATGCTTTACATCCACCCAGTATATTCCAGTGCTCTGCTGGGGAGTTGGAAAGGCATCGAGGTGAGGGCTGCCTGCACTGTGATGCCTTTCACCAGCTGCAATTGGTCCATGCAAGCATCTTCCAGGTAAATGGGTTTATGTGTTTTTCCCATCCTTTGTAGCAATCCTTTCTCTTTTTGTTGATAAATAACCCCAAAATAAGCACCAGTGTGGGTGAAGAGCCAGACACTAGAGAGCCCAATATTTAGGACTTAACCAGCTAGCAAAATGTATTTCACTGGTTGACACATTATTCAGATGATTCTCAAAGAAATGGCAAAAGAGATGGAGAACACTTTGAAAAGGGAGAGTAAAGATTGCCAAGAAAAATGAAAGGAGAAAACCTGGGAGCCTCCTGCAAATTTGCCACATAATTCACAAAGAACAAGGTGCTTTGTGTGAAGGCAAGCCCCAAAATCACGGAGAAGGAAAAGGGAAGATGGCTGTCCCAGTGCCCACCAGCATCCCAGCACAATGGGGTCATGACAGAGGCTGAAGAGTTGCCTGTCCTGGTGGTTTAATTTGGCCATTGGCTTTTGATTAGAAAAACTGAGCCAAAAAAGGTAATCAAGGGCAGGAAGGTGTTTCGGACAGAGGCAACTCAGCCCTGACCTTTGAGGGCTGGTCCCTTTGGCAGTTGCCATTGCCCACTACATCTCTCAGCCTGCTGAGCTCCTGGAGACTCATCCCACCCCAAATTCCTGCCACCCTGTCACCAGTTGTCCTCTGTCCCCTTGCCCCATGCTACCCCTCAGGCAGAGCCATAGGGCTCCCAGCCTTGGGAAGAGCTCTCACTTCTGAAACAGTTGCTTTCTTCCAGTGATGTTACTTCTGTCCAAGACACCAACCATTCACGGCAGAATTGCTGCCTCCATCTCACTCTCCCTTTTGAAAAGATCAGTTCACCAGGCAGCTGGACTCAAAGCTCTTTTCCAGGATGGCTGCTCAGATGGAGTCACACACTCCCTATCTTGGCAATGACTAATTCAGCCTGAAATAGCCTGTGCTCTGGGCTTTGCTCCTGGTCTTAGTTTGTCCTTATTTATTATGGTTGGAGAGAAATGAAATAATTCTGTGGAGCTGCTCTGGGTGGCCTAAGCTGTGGTTTTGTGGTGCTGGCCCTACCTAGCTGCAGGATCTCTTGGGAAGGTACATCCCCTGCTGGATGTGATGGACCACAGGATGGTGGCATCTACAGGCAGGTCCTGGGTCACCAGGTGAGGCGAGGAGATGAGGTGAAGAAAGCAGAGGTGCAAATTCCCTCTTTAGAACAAGCCATGTCTCAGTTGCCTTTGTTCCTGCTGATTTTCACTTGCAGAATAACCTCCAGCTCACCTGTGCTATGGTTATCCCACAAAGGAAAAACCACCCCAAGGCCTGCTACTGGAAATAGCACGTGGTGTCTGCAAGGCTGCAATGTTACAGTGACACAGTGCAGGCTCTGCCCCAGAGGGAAGCAGCAACCCAAACCAGGGAGGGGGACATGGCCCTTCTGTGGGGGCTGCCCTGAGCAGAGAAGTAGCTGAGACAAACCCTTCCTACCTTTGATCAATTACAGCCACACAAAGGTATTTTTAACTGGGCTGGAGGTGCCAGAGAGCAGGGACAGCCTCTTGCTCAACAATGTTTTTCTAATCCTCTCCTTCTCAACCACTGACAAACACTGAACCTGGGTCTAGTGAAGCAAATCCCAGCCTTTCCTCTGTGTGACACCCTGACATGGAGATGATGCCCAGGCTGGCCCTTCCCTTCTCCTCACTGTCTGGCATCCATGACAGGAGCTAAGCCCAGAGCTTTCAGTCCAGCTGCCGTGGCACACAACGGATGGGATGACACCATGCAAGTCAGAAGGCAAGAAACCTGAGTGCACTAACGGGCAGCGGCTGGTGCTGCAGTAAAAGGCTGAGGTTGGCAGTGGAGGCTGCAAGCGGGTCGGCTCTTACCTGACCACCTGCAAAAATGACAGGGGTGGAGGCGGGCTTTGGGCGGTAGGGAATGGTGGCACCTTTTGGTGGGGACTAGGAAAAGGGATAAGGAGAGGGAGAGAGAACATTAGAACAGCTTTCCTGAAACAGCGGCAAAAAGAGCGTTAGAAAGCACCTAATGGAGCACGGCCCCCGGGGCCGCCACAGCAACACCCGCACCAGGCAACACCGCGTTTCTGGACAGGAGCACACGGGGAAAGAGGGGATTTGTGGGCAACAAGGACAACCTGGGGCACAGGAGATCCCCTGCCAAGGCACAGGCCCCTGAACGGCCTCCTGGACCTCTGCTGCCTCCCTCAGCTTCACTCTGCTCTGCGCAAACCACGTTGCCTGCTCTAGGCTCTGAGAACCCTCCTTAGAACGCCCTGAGGAGAGCCTGAAGCAGCAAGATGGGGAGGTACAGCCCATCTGAGTGACCTGGCACCATAGTCAAGCTCTTTGGCTTCCCTCATCTTCTTCGCTGCCAGAAGAGGGTCACCTTCAGGCCCTGGTGCGGTCCCTCACTGTCTGAGTTGGGATGTAGGTGCTGCAAGATCAGCTGAGAAGTGTCCCTGCACATGGCAGGGGGCTGGAACTAGATAGCCTTTAAGGTCCCTTCCAACCCACCCCATTCTGTGATTGGTGATTCTGTGTTTCTGTGGTCTTGCTGCTCTCTGTCAGGTCCTTGGGTAGGTCTGAGCAGAGCTGCGGTGACAGAGCTGCTGGTGTGATTCACAGGAGCTGCTTGCCCAGGTTCTCCCTCCTGTTTTTTTCCTGAACAACCTACAGGCCATAGGAAACCTGGAGGTTTCTAGGGATCAGGAGATATTTCAGCTCTCCTCCTGCTTCTACCCAAAATTAAACAACTCAGTGACTGCTACATAAGGACAGGCAATAGAAATTACACTATCTCATGGAAAATTCTTTTTTTTTTCCTGTATGTTCTTTGGATGTCTACTTGTAGGCAAGCAGCATTATCTAAATCCTCCTGCTCCTGTCCTGCTCCTGGGAAAGCTGATCAGAGCACATCTCCAGCACATCCACATCTCCTACTTGTTCTTTTATTGCATTGCCAATCTTGGAGGGGACAAGCCAAGATTACCTGTTTAAGACTGAAAGGTGATGTGGAACATCTCTGTAAGCCACTAAAGTCAGGGCACTTTCCAGATTTCAGACTACAAGAAGACTCATGGGTTTTTCCCACGGCTGAGCTGGACAGAGGAGCAGCACATCTTGTTTTGTAAGAAAGACTTTTTAACACACTTGACAAGCATCACCTCAGGCTCATCTCTGCTGCAATCTGTGACCTGGAGTCATCGGGTGCCTAAAATTCCTCTGGCAGCAGTGCAGCTGCCTGAGCATCACAGCCAGCAGGGATGGGGAACATGGCTCCTCTTTATCCTTCCTGAGATGTGCTGCTGCCAAGCTGAAGATGCTTCTATTTGGCTTTGCTCTACCTTCACCAAGCCTTGTCATCCCCATCTGAAGCTTTTCCAGTGGGAAACGTGCTCCTTCCTGCTGTGAAAGGGCTGTGCAGCTAGGCAGAGGGGCCTTACATAAGTCTTTACATGAGACATGAGCTTTGTCTGGCTCTGGGATGCACCAGGAGTGGAATGTGTCATTGTCCCATGTCCCAGAGGCTCTCCTTCTGGAGCTTCTCCCATCTGAAGTGGCAAGTGTGGATGTGGGGCATGTGGCTGAGGTCATCTCCAGCAACTAGTACTGCAGCATCTCTCCACAGCAGAGATCTTCCAGCTCTGCTTGTCAGCATTTATCCCAGAAAATGGCACCTTGATCATATATCCATGTGCCCTACAGTCCCTGCTCTCCACCAGCCTTCCTCACCCCCATTCCCACTGTGCCCCACTGAAACACAGCCTTCTGCTCCCAGTTCCATCTCCCCCAGTGCAAGGGAAGCTCTGACCTCCTCTTCCTTCTCCTGGCTGTGGTCCTTGTGAGGCAGAGACCAGGTTCTTGGAGCAGTGTCTGTGGCCCCCATCTCCTTCCCACAGCACCCTGGGTGCTGCTGGGACACCAGGACAGGCTGTCCCAGCTTGCTGGCACCTCTCTTCCCTGAAGCCACCCTCTGCTCTGACACAAAACACCTCCTTTGGGGCACCCGACCAGACAAGCTTCCAGTGTGGGACTCTAGAAACTACGGACAATGGTGGGGAAAAGACACAGGGTGTGTTTCCAGTGGAGGTACCAAGAAATGAGAGTGGTCCAACAACGTGTGGTGAAGGGGACGAGAGAGACACGCTCCACAGCTCCCAGCGCTCTGGTGGAGCCAGCTGGGATTTTTTCCGTATGTACTTTACCCCCTTTGTTACAGACTGTACCTCCAGCATCACCACACAGATCTGTTTGACACACTGGATAATTGCGTCGGGTGTCCCCGAGATTGTCACTGCCCGCTCCGTGGAGTTGGGCAGCATGTCCCCCGCCACTTGGACCTGAGCACCTGTGGACTGGAGACAGAAAGAGAGAGAAAGGAGAAATTCCACAGCTGAACACCTTCATCAGCAGCCAGCTCCAGTTCTGACGCCACGTGCCTCCCAAGGCCTGGCCCATGGCATCCTGTGGGACGCTGCTCCCACATCGGCCAGACCACCCTGGGAAACAACATGATGCATGAGGCAGCAGAGGAATCCCCTTCCCAGGGCAGCTCCCCTCGGCTATGGCTCAGCTCCAAGGAGCTGTGCTGAAGTGCAGTAAGAGAATGGAATCTGCTTTACCTCTCGGATTTCCTTGATCTTGGAGCCCCCCTTGCCAATGAGGGAGCCACACTGACTTGCTGGCACCACCAGCCGCAGTGTCACCGGAGGTTTGCTGGTAGCAGTGCTGTTGCTCATGGAGTTGGTTATGTCCTTGGGAAAGGAAAAGTGCAGCATGTCAGCCCTTGATACCCAACCAGAGCCACCCGCAGTGCCCAGGTGCCACATCCACATGCATTATGGTCAGGTGACTAAAGTGTTTCCTTCTGAGCACTTCCAGGGATAGTGACCACCAGGTGCCTTGGGCAGCCTGTTCCAAGGCCTGACCAACCTTCCAGTGAAGAAATTTTCCCTAATATCCAACCCAAACCTGAGGTCATTTCCTCTGGTCCTGTCACTTGTTACTTGGGAGAAGAGACCAACCCCTAAATGGCTACACTCCCCTTCCAAGCAGTTGTAGAGAGTGAGAAGGTCCCCCCTGGGCCTCCCTTTTTTCCAGGCTGAGTCTCCCAGCTCCCTGAGCCACTCCCCATTAGACTTGTGCTCCAGACCCACCCTAGTTAGAGATGTCTGAAAGGTTCTTTGCTGAGGCCATGTCCCAGTTAGGCAAATCCAACCAGGCACTGGTTGGCTGGCTGGACAGCCATTTCTCATGGGATGGCTCACGTTTCTCACCTCCTCAAATTTGTAGGCAATCATGGCAAAAGCCTTGAAGATGGCATCAGTGGGGCCAGTTATGGTCACAATCCGCTCAGGACAGTTCCCCTCCGAGATGTTGATCCTTGCCCCGCTCTGGAAAGAGAAGAGGAGTTCTGGAATAGCCACAGCCAAGTAATCAGGTCGGGTCCTCTCTCAGCCTGATACCTGTGCCAGCCTCACAGCATTCTGTCTAACCTTCCAAACTCCCACCCCTCGTCTGCAGTGATTTCAGCCCTGACTTATCCCAACCCTCAGAAAGGGTTTCCAGTGTTTCCCTGAAAAGGGAATCCATGGGATCAAGGCAAGACCAGCTCATCAGGCCTTCACAGGCAATGGCCTGTGAAGAGTTTTGCTCACTGCCCTGACAACTCCCTGGGAGCTGCAGGCACAAAGACCCTGAACAAACTCAAAGCATATTACAAGTGACTTAATTTCAATGTTTCATTAAATACTTGACTCTGGAAAATGTGATAGGAGTGAAGGGAGAAAACTGGTCCAAAGAGCTCTGAGGACAGCTGGCTTGCTTCTCCTGACCCTGGGAATTCCTGTACATATCACACATGTGCAGCTCTGGCCACTCCGCATTCCCTTCCTCCTACAAATCATCCACAGAGCAGGCTGCTCACCTCTTCACGCATCTTCTTCACAGTCTCTCCTTTCTGAAACAGGAGGGAAAACCAAGCCATTACTGAGTATTCAAGACTTCTACCATTAAAACAATCCTACCGAAAATGCATCTCCCTAATAGACGGCAGTTTGTAGCCAAAAGCATGGGAGCTGTGATGCCTGGCCCTGCATCCCCAGGTGATGGTCAGCTGAAGAGCTGAGCATGCAAATCATCAAATATACATATACATACAAATTCACAACTGTGAATCTTCCCAGAGTTGGACGTGCTGATGGAAAAATAAGACACAAGCCTACAGGGAAAACGTGTTCGTGCTGCAAATCTTTGCCGCCATAAACCCTTCTTTGAAAACCACCTCAAAAAAAAAACCCTAAGTCCTGTACAGCCAGGACTTCCCAAACCACTGTGGAAACACCAGAGCAACTCAGGAGACTTTTTTGCACAAGGTAAATTAAGTCCTCTGGCCTCAGAGACAGGGACTATAGAATTACTTTAGATATAATTTAAATGTGTCTGTGTGATATTTTTAGTATCTCTTAATGAAGTTACTTGATGAAAACACCAGAGCAACATGACCATAAACTCCCAGCCATCACCCAGTGAAGCAGCTGGGAACAGTTTGGTGGTTGGTGGGGTTTTTAGGGGAATGGTCTTTGAGCCCTCTGTAGGTCTCTCACAATTTCTGGCTCACAAATGCAGCAACCAGCTCAGGCACCCCACACTTTTCAGGACATCACAGGGAAGAGGTGACTACAGCATCTACCACACCACAGGTGCAGGAACAGCATCAAAGGTACACTAAATGCATCCTTACCTTCCCAATGATGCTTCCAACTTCCTATGTGGAGAAAAAAGCCAAAACCAGAGGGACTGACATTAGAAAACATGATGAGAATCCAGCCCAACCTCATAATGAAGTAAAGACCTGGTGGACACTGTCCCCAGCGGAGAGACAGGGTTGAGGGGCAGGAATGAGGGGGAGCAGGAGCACCATGCTACCCTCCCCACCCGCAGGACAGCTGTTGGCAGGGCTGGCACAGCTGGACAGAGCTGTGTGTGGGTCTGGGCAGGTGGGAGAGGGGGCTGTGAGGACACCCCCGCTGTGGGATCCCCTTACCTTGCCGTGCATCAGCAGCCGGATGGTGAGGGTAACATTGAGGCCACCTTCGGAGACCTTGGACTCCATTTCCTACCAGGGGACGGGAGACGTGCGTTAGCCGGGAGAGCAGCCTAGACACGGGCAGCACCTTGGCTGTATCACCTGGGGACACAGCAGGGAAGGTTTGCTCTCAGAACAGGTTCCTTGGAGGGGGATGGACCCCACAGAGCAGCCAAAAAACAACTCTGGACCAAGGCAGCAGACAAGCAGCCTGGCCAAGGGCCAGTGGTGACAGTGGTGCTTTAAAAGACCCGCAGCAACTCCCTAGCAAATGAAAGCTCACCATCTCCAGCATAAAGAAAACCACAATGCACTTTTTCCGTGGGCAGGAATTGTCTATCTGACCCCAGGAGCACTGAATGGGAAGGACAGGACTGGCATCCTGGTTGCCACACACCCTGACCTGAGAGCTCCCCAGCTGGGCAGACTGTGCACCACACCACTTCCAGCCATTCATGTCACACATATCTAACAAAACCATGCTGTTTTCCTTCTCCGTTCTCTCTCTTTCCTCCTCTGCCCTCTAGAGATGCCACTGATGTTTTGAAGGCAAGGGGGGGGGAAAGAAATAAAAAACACAGAATAGCAACAAATCCTTAATTTTTCATTCCTGATAACCTGAGGAGCATCTCTGCATGAGGACGTGGCATATGAAATATCCCTGCAGCCCATTGCATGGGGAGAGCAGTCCCATCCCAGAAGGAGGTGCCAGTGTCCTTCTATGTGCAGTGCTGAGAGATACAGAGCAATTCTCCCTCATATTATTTAATCCCTCAGTCTGTATCAGATGAGAGATTTTCCATTCTGCTCACAAGCATCTGGCAATTCCCTTTGCTCAGACAGGGACTTACGTGAGCAAAAAAAAGCAGGAGATAAACAAATTCTCAAGTACTGCTTTAATGTAAGCTGGGATGAATAAACAGCAGCAATGCACAGACCATGGATGGGGATGGGTTTGATCCAAAACCTCTTCCCAGAGGTTATTATGAAACCCAAAATGGATAAACCCACGTGGTTTGCAGGGAGATAGAATTCCCTAAAGCTAAAGGACACTGGCTCACTGAGAATGAGGCTGCTTATGACCTATGTGCAAACACTGGGCTTGAGGCTGCTGCATGTCACAAATGAAAAAAAAAGGACAGAATCCTCACAAGGATAAGAAATGAAATGTGCTGAACACCAAAACAGGTTCACTGGCACAGGTTGCCCAGAGAGGTTGTGGACTCCCCATCCCTGACAGTGTCCAAGGTCAGGCTGGACAGAGCTTGGAGCAACCTGGGATAGTGGGAGGTGTCCCTGCCCATGGCAGAAGTGGAATGGCATGAGCTTTAAGGTCCCTTCCAGTCCAAACCACGCTGTTATTCTCTGGTTCTATGTCAAGCCAAAAGGTGCTTTTAAGGGTGGGGAGAAGGATAATATTTCCAAGGAAAAAGGTGACAACATTGGAGATGAAAGTAATGGGAATGGGCTGAGAGACTGTAACAGAACAGGCAAGATGAGGAATTTTCAAGGCTGAGCCCACTGTAAAGTGAACAATGAAGGAAAAGAATAAATGGGTGTGTTGTTTAACCCCAGGTTGACTCCTGTGCATGGGAGGCAGTGCAGAAAGGGTCAATAAGCTGATAGGTGGAGGTCAGCATTTCCAGTGCTCATGATGTGCCAGGAGACAAACTCCTACACCAGAGGCATCACAGAATCGCAAAATGTTTTGGGTTGGCAGGGAACTTAAGATATCCCATTCTACTCCCCTGCCATGGGCAGGGACACCTTCCACTATCTATCCCAGGCTGCTTCAAGCCCCAGTGTCCAGCCTGGCTTTGGACACTTCTAGGGATTCAGGGGCAGCCCCAGCTTCTCTGGGCACCCTGTGGCAGGGCCTGCCCACCCTCATAGGGAAGAATTTCTTCCTAAAATCTCATCTAATCCTCCCCTTCTTTCAGTCTAAAGCCATTCCCCATGTCTTGTGGTAGGGAGGGTGTTTGCCATCTCCAGCCCCACATCCTTAGCAGGAGGAACCCTGCATCAGGCCGTTATGTAAATGCTTCCAATTGATTGAAAAAGTGGGTCATGTGTTAGCCAAATGCTCCTGGCTTTAAGATTTATCAGCATTATTAAATTAAACACGCTTCATGCTCCAGTGAGTGGGAAAGCTACATTGGCCTTTTCTTAACCATACTAGTGAAAGGTAAGTGTTTTATAGGGGTCTCATGAGCTCAATGGAAGGCATGGCAACAATAGAGCTGAAGCATTTACTGTGGGCACAGGCCTCCCCCAGCAGCCCTCATTCCTCATGGACAAAAGGCTGGGAAAAATTATCCCCTAAAATGCGATTTTGAGTATTTCAGAGCATTCCCTGCCTGAAGAGAGAATCATGTCAGCCCCTTCCTCTTTACCATCGTGTTCTGCCTTGTTCACCACAGCTTTGAAATGGGTCCTTTGTCCACTTGAGAGCCCTGAGGCCACCATCACATCCAGCCCAATGGACAGAGTAGAGGCAGAGCCCAGCTCAGTGCGAATCAGGGGCAGCCCCACAGAGGTCAAAGACATGGAATTAGGAGACAGAAGTGTCAAGCTTGGCCCCAAAAGGGAAGTAGCATGCCAAACCAGTCTCTGCCAAACATCACACCTGGGCAACCACAGGTGAAGGACTGGAGCATCCTCTTTTGCACCACATCAAGGGGAGATCTGCCACAAAGCTGGACAGTGCCCTTCCAAAGGATGATCCCATTCCACAATAAATAGGCCTGTTAATTGCAGCTGCCTTTGCAAGAGTGCCTGGAGGAGACATTGTCAGTTCTCAGGGCAATCTGGTTCTTCCAGAATCAGTTCAAATATATTAAATTCTGGGAAATTTCCTTAATCTATCAGGAATCCCCTATGTATGAAAAAGCAACTCAGGAATCAGTGATTAAGGAATAGGAAGGAAAATGAAAGCCCAGAACAGCAGGAATACTCCTCTTCCCCACATGCAAACATATGCACTCCAATTTTTCTCTTTTCCCATTTTTCAGAGGTTGGAGCAGTTGCCTCAGCGAGTGCTCTTGTGTTTAAGCTTGCTGATACCTCACAAAAACCAACACGTCCCTAAAATGTGAGCAATTCCCTTCCAATTAGGGGAAATCTGAACACTGTGGATTGAATTAATTTAATAACACAATCGTCTCCCATACAGGAACAGGCACATGAAGCAGAACAGGAGGAGGCAAATGGAGTTCTGGGCTCCCATACAGGAGCTGGAAAAGCGGATGCTGGGATCAAGGGAGTCATGCCTCTGATATCCTATCAGGGATGCCCTGCCCTGATGGCAGGGGGCTCAGCTGAGCTTGAGCAGAGCCCAAATTCCCCCAGCAGGGGCTGGAGGACATTGCTGGCTCTATGCTTGCTGAAGCCAGCCCTTGTCCTCCTCTTCCTCCTTCCATGCGTTCCTCGGGCTCACTGGGTGCATGAGCCCCATATGAGTAAGCCTTTGCTTCCTAGAGTTATTTTTGGGGGGTATAGCAATGTTTTGTTCAAGCTGTCCAAAACCAAACAGAGAGGACAACTCTGTGCAAAGATGCCCCAGTGGCATAACTCTCCCTCCCTGAAAGGTTTGGGTGGAAAGTTCACAGGCACCACCAAGCAAATGCAGAGGAGAAAGTCTCCGTCACCCCGCCACCATCCATCACATGGCCTCCAGAAAACCCCTCTTTCTTGCAGCCGTATCACAGAATCACAAAATGGTTTGGGTTGGAAGGGACCTTAATGCTCATCTCATTCCACCCCCCCTGCCATGTTCAGGGACACCTTCCACTCTTCCAGGTTGCTCCAAGCCCCAATGTCCAACCTGGCCTTGGACACTTCCAGGGATCCAGGGGCAGCCCCAGCTTCTCCTGGTCAGTGCAGGCTGATAAAATCCAACACCTCAGAGCCCTGCTGACCAAGGGCCCTTGATGACCTGTGCAGGTAAAGAGCAGGGTGGGCAGAGCCCTGGTCTATGCAATCTCTGCTGTACCACCTTCCCAAAGGACCACCCCCCAAGCCCCAGCCTGGAGCATCTCAGTTGCTCAGTGGTAATGCCACCCTGGAAAACATCCACCACACTTCCCAGGCTCTCTGGTGTTCCAGGAGCCCCACCAGAACAGATGTGAAAGACAGCCACAATCCCTTGGCATCCTCCAGCACACTGTGACATCCTGCAGCCAGGATTTCCAATGGGGGTGGCAGAATATAGTGTTGGGAATTAACATCTGGGACAGAACGTCCACCACTCAAGACAGCATTTTCCCCTGTGAGGGAGGAAATGTTTGAACACCTGTGACTTCTCCATATCGTCTTCACAAAACTCAGACCAGAGTTTTCTGACCCTTGAAAAACAATGGATGTGTCAAAAGCAGAGAAAAGCCAGAAAGGCCAGGAAAGAGGATGTTTTTCTGACATTTTAGGCTTTCTAGCCTGTTTTCTGGAGGAGGGCTGCCTGTCCACCTGTGTCAGCAGGAGCTTTCTCCCCACTCATCTCCCACTGACTTGATCCTGCCATTAAGACCTAATCTAGTGATTTCCAGCATGGTGATTTAGTGGCTGGAAAGCTCGGCAACGCAGCCAGCTCGGGATTATGACGATGGTGCAGTCTGGCCAGGTCAAGACGGGGGTGGAAGGATGAAAAAACAGTCTGAAACAGAAAGCCAAGCATTCCCTTAAACCACATGGAAATGCATCAGTCACTGGTGAGCTTTGGCTGTTGGGAGATGAAACTGTGGGAGGGCAGTAGCACCATCCACATGAGTGATGCCAAATGTCGCCTAGGAACAAAGCTGCAATTCCAGCTGCTGCCATTTTCCACAGCTGTAGTTGTTTTAGTTGACCTTTCCTCCTCTCTACTCTCCAGCTTCAGTGGAAATACTTTAGATGTCTCTATCCAAAAAAGATGCCCTGTGCTCTCCTAGTACATCCGCCAGCAGGATATTCCTCTCTCTCCTCTGCCCACAATTATTCCAAACAGCACAGGAGACTAATGTCTTGCTCTGGCCCTCACAGCAGGCATCTGTGGAGGGTTCTTTCTCAGTCACCTGCTCCCATTTCCCCGCTCCCCTCCAGCTGAGATCACAGCCTCACAGAACCACTTA